CTTCAAAATGGCCTCTTCTAAGAAATTATCATTATTCAGGAATATTTCATGTTACCATGAAGAAGAAGGAACGTTATTAAGATTTAAATTGTTTAAACAGGGTTTGGGATGTTTGTTTTATTCTTGCTGTACTATGATTAAGCAGTGCACTTTTTGCCTACATGTACCCAAATGTTGTCAGACAATTGCAAAACTAACAGGTGTCATTTCCTCTAAGTGGAATTTTTAAGAATGACTAAAATTTGCTCTCCTGAAAGCAGGGTGTTTTGTTTTCTGGATTCAGTGTTTTCTGGATAGAATATGCAGTGCTCAATTTACAATTTGATGCAAGAGACTTCCTTCTGCATTATTTTAACCTGTATGTTTTATTGATTTGAGATATAAGAAATTGTATGCCAAAACTTTGGTTATTGTAACTAGTTCTAAACAAGAAAAACTAACATCAGTTTTGACAACAAACAAAAACTGTTTTTGTTCTTTCAGTTATGTTTAAAAGAGTCCAATTTCAAACCAAACAAAACTTGTGGTTATTCTGTCAGATATTTATATAGCCACTGGGGCGCCATAGTTATGCACTGCATACATCATTGTATTTTTAAAATGTACTTAATGAACATTTTTTCTTTTCTGGTAACTACTTCATTGCCTTAAATGAATGCATTCCAATAGAATTTGTAACAAATGAGTACTTTGTGTTTGCATTAATGCCAAACACGTTTAACAAATTTTTAACAAGGAACACTGGCATAAAGCCAAACTCCTAGAGGGACACTGAAGGAATGCTATAAATTCAAACTAGATTTTACCTTTTCACTTAACTCAGCAAGTGTCTTAGGTGTCTTTGGCATCTCAGTATTGCAAGTTTTCTATTTCAGGTTGGATAAAAATTTATATTTTAATTATTTCTCCTGGTTTGGCCCTTTTTTGCTAGAGACTTTTAAATCCATATAGCAGTGTTTGACAGAATGCTATACTCATTTAGAAACAGACAGATCTTTATTCATTCAAAATCTTCTTTGTGGATCTGTCCCCTCCCAACAATTTGGCAGTCAAAAAGTTACAGGAATAATACAAGTCCTCAGGTTGCAGTGACAGAGGAGTTCAAATTGTAGGTAGCCTATTGTGTTCAATAATGTATTAATATAGTGGAGCACATTTCTATTAGATTTGCATAAAAAAAGCACCCAATGTTGTCCCTAGTGTTGAATTTCAAGTTTCTAAATTTTGAGCATGTTTGCATCTGCACTTGAGAGGAAGGGGAAAAACAGTCCACAAGATTCTCATTGATCTAAACTGCAGGATTGCACTGAAGTCATGAACAGATTCTTAGCTGAATCCAGCAGCTGAATCCAACTGCGGTCTTTCTGTTATGCCCACATGGTACTTGTCACTGAAGACCTGGGGAATCACCTATTCTGTAATACATGCTAATACTGACAGTTACAAGTATCTGAACAAACCACATACTCCCTTTTTACTTGTAATTCCATATATAAAAGTAATCTTTTATTATGGTGTATAGTTTTAATCAAATACAGAGACTGAAAAATAATAATATTTAGCACCCATCCAAGAATCTTGAAGCACATTTCAGATATTAAGCCTTACAACTCCTTGTGAGGTAGTTCTGTGTTATTTACCTTCCGATGTAAGAGGTTTAAGGCATAGAAAGTCCCAAGGTCAGAGTCAGTGGCAGAATCAGGAATAGAATTCCATGCCACTTTTCATTACCCATCTCAATATTTCACAGTTTGGGATTGACCACAAATACTTAAGAATGCATTTGGATCGCAATTGCATTCAGATTATAATGTGGCATTCCATAGCACAGTTTTAAAACTGCTAGTACCAATGGTCTCTAATCCTATTTTTGAATTATTACTGTTTTGGCTAGTTGCTTAGACCAAGAAAATTAAATTATTTAACATAATTTGTTAGTACTTTGATCATCATAATAAATAAATCTTCACTAGGAATACAAGGAATTCATTCTGACAACATTTTTAAAGATGTTAAGTCATAATGCAGATGTCTTCTAATAGATTGTTAAGGAGCAGAAATGGTCCTACTGGATTTTCATTAATGATAGCTTTGTAGTACCACCATTTGGTTAGATACCAATTTCCTAACAGTAACTGGCTATTTTCTTTCTCTCTCTCTCTCTCTCACTAATGACCATATCAGTTGTTGGCCTTTTATGCTGGTAGAATGTGTAACAGGTTAGAAGAGGGCAATTTAAGGCTATGTGAATGAGTATCTGTTTTTGTATGTGGGTGCTTGTTGCAAACATTTGGAAAGCATATGGAACATAATGGACATTAACCCAGATGTCAAAAATAGCCTGCATTTTACTACCGTTATTAAACAGTTTCCCCTTTAACCCCTTTGTGTTTACCCTCTCTCTCCCCCCAGCTTGTTTCTGCAAATAACCACTGAAAAGAAAGGACTGGAGGCAGAAACTAGTAATCAGGCAGGTGTCTTTATCCAAAAGAAAAATATTCTGAACATACATTATGAGCAATCACACTTTTTATATCTTCAGATCCCTGTGTAATTTTCATTCAGTGATATCTAACTGACAGTCAAAGGTGCTGAGCACCTGTAGCTTCCATTGCTATCACTTGGAGTTGTGGGTGTTCAGCACTTCTGAATATCAGGTCCAATATATCTAGCCAAATCTTAGGTTTGTCTTTTTGTCAGTGACTAATGCTGTTACTGCATTGAAGAAACACAAATATAAATTATATTTACTCAGACCTTGTAGGTGTTTGACAGCAATATCCTTTTATATATTTATTTGACTTATTTGAAAAATATTGTGCATTTCCCACTTGTGGTGAACAGGTTTTTCATGTACTTCCAATAATATAATTTCCTGAAGAATGGATTGGTTGATTAAGTGGGTGGAGTTTTATCCAGGAGTTCTGTTATTGTATGTCAAACCCTAAATGAAAAGTAGGAAAATGGACTTCAGAGAGATTGTATTTTGCATGTTATTGCTCTTCCTCAGACTAGCATTGTTTGATCTGAGTTCTTTACTTTTAACAGCATAAATGAGTGTTAATTGCAAAGGTGCTTTAGCTTGTAAAATATCAAGATATATAGAAGATTGTGATAAAACAATCACTGTGATTGTTTTATTCATTTCCCAACCTGTTAAAAAAAGATGTAGACATTTTTTCTTCTAATACTTGCAGGAATGTACACTTCTCGTTAATTTCCATGGGTTTTTCCTGTATCTATATATCTCTTTGGATGATTAAAAAATCCTCGGTACCCAAAAGAATGGGAACTATGCACAGTTCACAAAATGTAACACGTGCCCTGACTTACAGTTTTCATAAAAAGTTTGCAAAGATTTTATGTGCCAGAACTAGTAACATGATCTACTTTAGGAACTCCCTTGCTTTCCAGCTCTGCAGAAGTCATTTTTGTCCTATTCAATGGCCTGATCCAAAGCCCATTTAAGTCAGCGGGAATCTTTCCTCTGACTTGGATGGACTTTGGATCAGGTCCTAAGTGTTTTAACCAAAAGAATTGCACCGAGTTCTTGTAGGAAGATTGATAGTTCATCTGACTATAAATATATGCAGCCACCACACAGATGTGTACCTGTAAATACAGATTTCAAATTCTTTGCATGTTTGTTTGTCCACAGCACTTAAACAGTGTGGAGCTGCACTTTCAGAAAAACCACACTGATAAAGTGTTATCTTTTAAAAATAAAAAGCCATTTTAGCCAAATAATTCTATTTACAAAACAACTTCATCATAGTCTTTTAACAGTACCAAGAGCAGAAAGATGATTTGTTTAATGCAATAATATATTTTATACCATTTTTAAACAAACATTTTGGAAACTTGTCAGTTACATGAATGTGAGACCAACAATTGAGAATCCTAGTAGGTAAATGCATTTGTCCTTTTTTATTCACAAACTCAATAAATTAATGTGCACATGCACTGCAAGGGAAGTGTTTGGTCCCCCCCCCCCCATCTGACATATACATGTACTAAATAAGACTGTTTGACTGCACTGTATTCAAGGCTGTTAGGCATTTTATTGTTACTTGAGTTCTGTTGCCATTACTGTGAGTTGGGTCTGACCCTGCATATACTTACTACCAGATTTTGTGCCTGGTCCAAAGCCCATTGAAGGCAGTAGGAGTCTTTCCACTAACTTCCTAGGGTTGTGACTCTGGCCCATAGTGCGTACTATTTTGAGAAATCCCATTGACTTCAATAATACTACTCATACCAGTAAGTACAATGCTTGTGGGTAAGTGGCTACAGGACAAAAATGGTCATAGGGAACATTTGTATATTTTAACCTTTTATAAATCTGAGATTTGCATTTCTAAAAAAAACCCTCAATCTACTTTCTAGAAAATTGAAATGGACTTACCTTAAAATATACTGGTAAAAAGTTTTCGTTGTTTTCAGTACTCTCAATTCTGGAAGGTCCTGAGAGGTACTGAATACCCTCACCTGCCATGGAATTCATTGGAAATTAAGAGCCCTCAGCACCTCTTGGGGGGGCAGCAGCACCAGGCTCTTATTTCAGACAGTAATTGTTTTCTACTTGCAGACAAATGAAAGGAGCATGCTTTCTTTCAAAATAAAGACCTTTAGGTTTGTCAGCAACTGCAGCATTTCTGCTCCTAAGATCCTGTCTATTTGCATAAGACATGTAAATATATTTAACATGGAAAAAAATCACAATATCTAGTGGTATCTAACATCTTTGGAATTTAAAAGCAGCCCCATTCTTTTAGATCTTGCTGTACAAGTAAACTGTAGAAGAAATAAACATGGGCCTAGGTACTAGGATGATTGGCACTCTATAAATATAATAGGTTCAAATCTGAAAGTTCTGACTCTCTCCCTATGTAGGCAAAATTTCTTCTTACTTCCATGAGAGCCTTGACTGGGTAAGAACTGGCACTATTTGTACCTGCCAAGCATTTTAATAATTGGAATGGTTTATTGTGTTGTTACAGTTGCCAGAGGAGCTGGAGAAAGAGGAGGAAAAAATGCAGCACTGCAGAATTAAGCTGATAATCTATTGCAGTGGATCTCCAAACATAACCATGACATCCTGGAGCAGATCATAGAAACAGAAGATGAATGCTGAGGTTGTTAACAGATGAAATGCTGCATAAATTGGTGTCTTCTCCATTATTTCTTGTAGTCATTATGAAGTCAGATACTCTGGAAAATAATGAAGGGGACTCAATCAGAAATTACAAGAACTTCATTTCCACCTTTAATGGGTCTTGTGTTCAGAATATTATTATTTAATGAAGTTCAGTTAAATGGATTCTTTTAACCAATTTTGATAAATTGGTATTGATTTTTAATGTGTAATTCAGGTTCTGTTAGGTGCAGTATCTTCATCTGCTGATTCTGCCTAGCGTATTCTACAGTAACACTTCTAAAGTGGACTAGATTGTCAAAGAGGTATTAGTACACTGTTATATAATGGAGTCTGCATTAATCTCACCCCCAGTTAGAAGTGGGCTTTTCAGAAAAGTAAAAACTAAGCCTTTACCCTCCTCTGTTTTCTTATATCTACCGTTACTCAAATAATCACATTTTGATAGTGTAACGAGTATTAACCTCTGGGCCAGGTTGGAAATGAAATCAATTTTTGGTACTACTTGCTGTTGGCAAGGATTAGCCTTATGAAAATATGGTGTGTGTCTCTGACAATGCATGGGACATCTAAATTGATCATCAATAATTTACATACCAAATTTATATATTAGTGGATGGTAAAAGCTTGAGGTATGTATATGTACATATGTGTATACATGCACACATATACTGGAGTGGATCAACCTTTTATCATCCAAATGCATATAGGTATGTATTAATAAAAGCTGGGACTCATAAATATATCAAGATAAGAATGCTATGAATACAGTATATGCATTAGGCCTCCTAAAAATGAAGGACCATTTGTCATTGTTTTCTGTAGTGAACAAACAGCCTCCATGATGGATCCCAATGAATTTTTGATGTTAAACAAGAAAATATCAATGAATGAGGAGAAATTAAAAGCTGTCTGTATCAACAAAGAATTTCAAATAAAGATGAATAATTTAAAGCACATGCCAGGAAAAAGAAAAAATCTGAAGTCATTCTAATGTAGTGATGAGACACAAATGAGAGTTAAAGCTCTACCACTTCCTCAAAGAGAGGATCCTTACAACTTCATAACCATTTTCAGTCAGTCTGGCAAACATGTGCAAATGTTCAGCTGTTTTACTGATGCATCTCTCTTTTTGTCAATGGAAGAAGTACTTCTATACTGACGTGAGTGGCAATTGAATATTTGCATTATTAAAGGACAAACAATGAATTTAAGCATGGGTGGCCTTAATTCTTAGTAGTTTTTCTTTGCTGCTGTAAAAAAAAAAGGATTCTAAAGTGGTTATTCCGAAAGTCTTGCACTGAATTTAGAAAAATATTATTTTTTGAAATTGTTGGTGCAATTATCCCTGAAGTAACATCCTATGTGAGCCATACCTATATTAACCCCTTTAAAATGATTGCTGTGTAGAAAACAGTATTTTATTGTACCATCATTTTTGGTGCAAATAAAGAGCAACTAAGTCAAGCAGGAGTCCTTCTTGATGTTTCATCTCAGTAAATAGAATAAAATGTATAGAATTAGTATAGCATAGGTGATCCAAATTCATTCATGTTTAAAAAGTTTGTCCTTTAACTATCAATGGAATTTTAGATCTTTGTTTTCAAAACAGCAAAGCTCTTGGGAGTTTATTTAGCACATATGACAAATGTTGCACTTGCAAACTCAGACAACAGAACTAGTTTCTTGTGATGAACTTGTTGGGACAACTGTCTGTGTCTCTTACAATCAGGTCTTTACCTTAACTCTGCAACTGAATACTTGAAGTAGGAAATAAACTAGGTGAAAATAGGGTCATAAAAACAAAACTGTATAGTTAAATATTTATATGTATGTGCCAATTTTGTCACAGACATTATTTTAGGAGCACTTTTTGCTCCATTCATATTGTAAGAGTATTGATCTAAACTTTTATCAGGGGCTATGAGTTAGCCCCTAAAGAAAAAAATTTTTGTCTAACATTTGTTTTTTTTCATTTCATGTGATATCTATGATGTTTGGAGAAAAATCTTTTCATATACTGAAATAGACTCTCGGGGTTTACAATAAACACTGTGATGTTGGGAAAATATTTTATTTCAGCAATGTTTGGTAGTTCCCCCCACCCCCTTCTAAATGTAAGAAATTAAATCAACTTTTGGCTAACATTTAAGATAAATAATTATTATTTTAGTGTGGAATCAGGCTTGTACTGCACAATCTTTCTTTCATTTAAATGTACAGTATGAATTTTGTATTTAATGATTTTTGTGTATCTAGTATGCACGTAACTGCACATTGACTTTCATTTGAAAGTGGGTTTAAATTTCCTTTTTCAACAGTGTTTATGAAAAGACCTCAGATGTGTTGACACAAACTATATCTGCAATGTGTGTGGGGGGGGAGGGTTGTTTTTTGTTTTTTTGTGTAGAGTGATGTTTGAATGTGATGTTCTGCAACAATGGGTCAGTATTCTCTATTTACCTTAACCCCTTATTTGATAGTGCTTCATGTAATAATTTCCTCAAGTGAGTGGCATGTTCTGGATTGTGATATTGATATGTGGTTAAGGACATTGATATGAAACTAAGGAATCCTTAGAAATTACCAGTGGGCATGTATTAGACAGTCATTGTAATTTAATGTCTAGTAAAAGTGTGAAGTACCAAGGTATTTAGAGATCATAACATTATTATCATGTGTATGGGAAGTACTTACTGTTGATCAGCTTGTTTCTATTCATCAAATAAACTGTTTCTTTCTGAAATCAGTGTAGTGTCATTAAAGCTAAGTTTAATGACTATAAACAAATATAAGATGTTTTCCACATGGTAAATTCATCACACTCCTCTTTTCTCTAATTGCTACCATTCAAAGTAATTTATCTTCCTCTTGTTACTGTTACACAAACTGTTTCAAAAGGAAACTGTCTCTTAGGCCCCAATCCCACAAACACTTATGCACCAGAGTAACTTTACTTATGTAAGGTAGGTAAAGTTACTCATGCTAGGAAGTGTTTTCAGAATTAAGGACTTAGTGAGCAATATACTCTTTGCATGGTTTTCTAAAACATAATATTTTGTGTGACCCTTTATAATTGCATAGAAAATTACATTTTGTTTATATATTTTACTGACCAAAAGCCATTAGGTGTGAAATTCTCTACACAGTCAACTCCTTTTTCAGCTGCCTGGTAAGTTGTTCGCCTTTTCCATTATGTTCATTTTTTTAGAAAAGGAACTTTTGTTGGACAGGAATTTCTTACCTCATAGAACTCCCTGGACCAACTCAGTGCACACATAGCAGGAGAATAAAAGGTAAGTAAGTATGCATTTCAGGTAGGTTATTTAAAAACACAGTCTCTTAGTTTTAAGCTCTGTTTCTTTACCTATAAATTATTCCTCATGGTAAGAGCAATATAAGGCTATATAATATTGTACTTACATGGGATATTAAGTTGCACTATTAACGACATCTAAATGCACATTTATTATATATTTTACTTATGTCTATCTGGCCTGGAGTTGGAACACTATAAATTGAGTATTGATTGCTCATAACATCTTCTTTCTGGACCAAATGTAATCATTCATGATTGCTTGGCTCTTTATTCGGACAGCACATATGGTGCATTAGAATTCAGCCAGCAACATATCAATGTTCATTCTTAATTCTGCTTTCATAGTAGATCACTACTTGCTTTTAGGGGCAGGTCCTGCCTCTTTCCCATCTTGGACACAGCAGAATCAGGTGACTTATGGCTTGGCTGTGCAGAAAGAGGTGACAGATCTGTGTTTCTGCCCAGTGGCTCAAAGACGGAGAAGTGCTGCAGCTCTGAGTAATAGTCCAGAGGGGCTCAATGCTACTCTGTAGCCTGGGGTAAGCCAACTGATGGACTGTAGAAATTCCAGTTCATATCTGGTTGCTTGTGCTATGCTCTGAGAGCAGGATTTGGCCCTGAAAGAAATCTGGTAATCTATGTAAAGTGCATCCTGGCTGGCATTAACGCCTTTCAGGAAGTATGAAACATGAGGCTTTGTAATTACATGAATTTGTTTCCATTAGTTTCAGATTTTGGGGTCACCTCTCTACTCCTAAAAGTAAAACTTTTAATTACTGATCCATGGATATACTGCTGCTTTCCCACACTCTGTAAATAAAGCCAATTCTGCCCTCTAAAGCACATGTGCAGCTCCCATTGAAATTAGCGGGGGCCCTGCACGCATCCCAGGGCAGAATGCAGCCCAGAGATAAGAAAGGATATTTGATGATGTAGGGTATTGTCTGCATTTTACTGCAAGGAGCTTGGACTGACCTCATTTTACACATGCAGCAGAGCAATGAGTGAGTTTTGCAGGGCTTCTCAAACAATGGGCAAACCCCTCCCTCCACTAGATGTAGCCTGCCACACCACCCTGTATTTTGTTTATTCCAAATAGGCCCTGATGCTACAATGAAACTCCACAGAGACAGATGTCCACCCACGTGGATCCAATTGTAGAATCAGGACTTATTGTTTTTGTTTGTTTTTATACTCTCTCTGCCTTTCCTCTTTGGCCTACATTGGCTGCTGCAGCACAGGATTGTCACTCGTATAAGGGAGAGTTAGTGACATCTATAAATGCAGCATAAAGTCAGTGTATATAATGATTGAAATGTACACTAGGTTTTGCAATAAAGAAGAGCATACATACATGCACAGTATAACCCATGTATCCAGAGGTCTCTGGCAAAGTATGAAACCTTTGGATAAACACAGTTTCAGATGAAGGGGGAAGCCAGCTGCACAGCTGTAAAAAGACTGTGCTCTGGGTCCCTAACCAAGAGAAGCCAGTGGACTCCAGATGTTCTGGCAGCTGTAAACTGTTCTGGGTCTCCTTCCCAGAGCTCAGTGAAGAGCAGCCAGCAAACTCCAGATGGACCAGCCAGCTAAGAGGGCTGTGGAAGGCAGTGAAGAGAAATTAGATGGCCCCAGAAAGCAATGAAGATGACAAATCACGATTACCTGTCCAGTTTTAAAAAGGCTGTACAACTTGAGGGACATTACTGCTGATCTGTGATTAACTAGAATTCAGGTAAGGGTTTGTCTGCTCTATAGATAATGAGAGGAAATATACATACAAAATATGTGTTAGTATGGAGTACTAGCAAATTTTTATTTATATATATTTTGGCTAAATATGAGTTATCCAAGTCTTGCCAAATATATGGCAATAGAAATATCGCACATCATACTGTCATCACCTATTTTACATGGGACATATATTTGCTTTTTGATAGTTTGTCTTTTTTAATAACTCAATTTTTTATAAATGATGCCACTTACATGGGTTAAACACACACACACACACACACACACACACACACACACACACAGAGTAAAAGATTGAGATTGTAGAAAAATACTCTGAGATTAATTCTGCACTTGTCCACTGAAATACTTGCTATGGGTACTTAGGTGTTTTTCCATTTCAGACACCAAATTGATGGTGCAAGCACATGAAGGAAGAATCACTAGTTCTAACTTAGGTGCTGACATCTGAAGATTTGGCTCCCCATATGCAGTTTATTTCTGGAGTTTACATTTAATTTATTTTTTTATAAGGGGCATTTGTGTTTTTTTTAACAAATTCTGTCTAGGTGTGAGTACAACCCTGGGACATAAAAGCACTGAACAAATCTGTATCTGGTATGAAAAAAGGTCCTTATTATGACCTCAATAAAAAGTGACAAAGTTGATGCATGGGACAGAGGCACCTGGTTATTAGAAGTATTATACCTGTATAAACAATACCTGTCTGAACCAAGGCTATTGCATAGCCTTTGCACACACACACACACACACACACACACACACACACACCACCCG